AAATTGTTTGTACATCACTATTACATAAGTGATTTGTGTTGTTTATTATTACCTTCTGAAGGTATTATATTCGTTTTTGGATTTAAAAATTATATTATAACAAGATCTCATTTTTAAAACAATTTTTTTTAAACAATCTGGACACACTGTTCTTAACTGATTTTTGTTCAGCTAAAAATTACGTCATGTGTAGGGACCGATTAAGAAAGTCCTCGATTTAGCTTTCCCTGATTCTAAATATATATACTCATTTGATGTTGCCTTTTTTAAGATATTTACCTTTTTTGCCTTTTCTACCTTTAATTGCAAAAGGCAAGGAAAAAGGCCTTATTCCTGGTAATATGAAAATTTTAAACGTTCCATATTTAAATTGGTCGCTACTTGTATCAACCCACGTCGAGCGCACGTTTAGTATATTTAAGGCTTTTCTTCACAAAAATCTAATGAAAATGCTGCCAGAAAACTTCAAAATGCATATTGTGGTTCAATGTTACTACAACTATAGAGATTAAAAGTTTTGTGAGTTAAAAACTCGAAAGGAGAAAATAGTAAAAGATTCAAAGTACAAATTTTTCATATAATGAAACTAGTTCATAGTTTTTCTCTTTTTACTTAAACATAAACATTTCTAAAATAAATGTATTTTTTGATAATTTTTCGGGTTTTGTCTTTTTTAGTGCCTTCTTTTGCCTTTTTTGCGTATTCTAGTGCCTTTTCCTGCCTATTTTGCTATTTTATTTTGCCTTTTCTAGCCTATTTCGTTATTTTATTTTGCCTTTTTTATAGGTTTTTAGGTCCTAAAAATCCGTTCGCTGATCATGCGCTACTAATTTTTCTTAATATAATTTTAATCTAATACTTCTTCGATTTACGATTATTTCAATCCTAATTCAAACTATTTTGAAACTGCGATTAAAGTAATCGTAATCGTAGACGCACCTAATAACACATGTAATTTCATCACCCAGCTCAAATTTAGATAAAGGTTTTGATTCGCAAATGCACATACAGTCACTCCCAGAAGTATTCGTAAATTAGTTTTTTCACAATATTCAAAATGTTTTCCATCATAAATCTTTTTTTCGCTAATTTCATTTAAAATATAGCTCATTCTATACCACAAACCATATAAATCATTCTTGCAAAACTTTGTAAAAAATTTATAAAATTGAATCAAACTTAATAAAATTTTCATAAAAATTTCAAACGTTTTATTCGGAATTTTTAGAAAAATTTTCGGTATGCAGTTTTATAGCCCGTTCCGTTAGTACAATAAAGTGCAAGTTTCAAGGAGCTAAAAATTACTGTTGATTTTTTTGAATTTTTTTTTGTCGAGGGTGTTATATAAAAATAGATTTTGTTCATGCCTTATATGGAAACAAATGGCCAACACCCTCGACAAAAAAAATTCTTAATAAAAAGTTTGAAATTTTGATGAACATTTTTTTATGTTTGATTCATTTTTATGGATATTATTCAAAGTTTGCAAGAATCATTTATATGGTTTTTGTTATAGAATGAGCTATATTTTAAATGAAAATTAAGGAAAAAGATTTATAATGGAAAACATTTTAAATATTGTGAAAAAACTAAATTACGAATACTTCTGTGAGTGACTGTATGTATGTACTTATGTACATATACAGCGGAGCAACACATGCGGTTTTACCGAGAGATTGGGTTAATTCCCACATTTCACTCGTAACTGGTATCAGTTGCAAGCATTTGGTCACAGTCATATGATTGTGACAAATAATAGCTCTGATCCAATAATTTTCGTGTAAAATCCTGTAAAAATGTCACACATGTAGAAATTTCACGAGCTAATGGCTTCTTTTAATTTACTTCATTGCCATGTTAATATTCTTAGATTACATATCCTTGGTGTTGCCACCTTATTACTATTACTGCCTAATAATATAATAACACTGGGTTTACACTTTATTTCAATTGATCGGGCCACAAAACTGCATACTCAAAATGTGTATTTCTAGGAAATCTGAAAGCTCGACATTTTTACGAAAGTTTTTTTTTATGTTGCGTTAAGATTGAACCTTGGATTTATACGGGCTTTATTAAAGTATAAACTGCATTTTTATAAACAAATAATTAAAATTAAATAATTTTAAAACAAATGGCCAATCTTGTCAATATGTGCGTGTCGTAAAGTTTTGATAAGCACTTGAAATACTATTGTAATTTCAAGTTTTAGTACTGAATTGCAAGAAGATATCTCTTTTATCTATTCATAATAACTTAAAAGAATTTGTTTGTTATGTTAAAAGTGTGAAATATGTAAATGTACCTACATAAACTTTCTCATGAATACCATCAAACCATTGGTCTTGAAGGGAATCTATGTATGCATGTACTAAGAAAATATATGAGCAAATTAAAAAGTCGATACAATTTACAGTCGAAAAGTACAGTTTTTGTATAGATTTGGTACTCAAGGAACAATTTTATTTCCAAACACTGATCCGAGGTATTCAATTTCGTTGTATACGAATTTACATTTCTTGAGTTTTATCTGAAGGCCGTGTGTCGCTAGCTTCTCTAGTGAATAAATTACAGTGATCAGTCATGCTTTTACTACCAATTATAATATCGTCCATATAAACTATTATTTTGTTTCTTTCTATAAAGTTCTTCAAAATTTTCATGATAAATCTTTGAAAAATAGCTGGTCCATTCTTAAGTCCAAAAGGCATTCTTACTGGCCATTTGGTATTACAAACGAGATACACATATTTAATAGATTCTTAGGCCATTTTAATTTGATAAAACCCTGATTAGAGGTCTAAAAGTGTAAATATTTTGTTCTCACCAAGGTATTCCAAGCAATCTTCTATCAACAGAAGTGGATAATTGTCTCTTACAATTGAATTATTTAGGATCCTATAGTGTATGCACATTCTGGAAGTGGATAATTGTCTCTTACAATTGATTTATTTAGGATCCTATAGTGTATGCACATTCTGGATTCTCCTGATTTTTTCTTCGTAAGGATAATAGGCGATGCCTAAGGGGAATCGCTGCACCTAATGATTCTTTTCTTTAGTAAATCTTCTATTATGCGATTAACTTCATTTTTTTCAGCGATTGATAAACGTCTTGGTGAGCAGAATATTGGAGTGAGTGAAGTGAAGGTGCTGGCCCAATGCGGGCTTGCTTTGCATGATTTGCTTACTTTGGTTTGGTTTGATTTACTTTGAAAACTTGCTTGGCTAAATGGCGGCTTGGAAAGCTGTCGTAATGACGTTTGATTTTTAAATTTTTACAAAACAAAACAAAATGTTGTACAAAAGCGCAGAGCAAATTTTGAAATTTTTTTTAATTGTATTAAAATTGCGTAAATTAAGAAGTAAGTTACGCTCAAAGAGGAGATTTTGGGTGCGCAAGTTGTAATTGGATCGACAAAAGCACGGACTGTTTGAATATGCATTAAATAAATTTGCAGACGATGAAGAGCAGTTCAAAAAGTCTTTGAGGATGTCTCTCTCCTGGTTCAATGTGCTTCATGAGTTGCTGAAGAATTCATTGAAAGAATTCTCCATCAGGACTCCGATATCCTCTCGTTGTAGACTATTTGTAACACTTTTGTAAATAAATTCCATAAAAATGCATATCGTTTTCTACATTAATTTTGAATGTTTGCAATGGTTGCAGATATCTTGCTCATGGTGACACCAGTCAATTTCAAACACTTGTGCACAGAATGGGACCAACAACCTTCAGGCGAATAACACTTGAAACATGCGATATAATACACGGTGGAGAGAATACAGAGGTGGCGCCGATGACGATACCGCTACTCGGCTCTCAGTGATTTTGACAGAATCAGCTGTTTTGGTGACGTCATAGTAGAGAAGACAGCAGTAGTGATGTGCTGAGTCAATACTTTTAAGTACCCAATACTCTCGATACTCGGTACCGAAACATTTAGGTTTCGAATAAAAGCGCACATAGGCCAAAAATATGGAAAAAACGCCTAACAAAACCCGAATGTAAGAGCCAATAGAGCTTTTTTACTGATTCAAATGAAAGATGTATATATGTCGGTTCGATGCCATAATACAGAGAAACCCTTACTTGTTTGAAGCATTTTTGTTCCAGCTGAATCGGACGATATCATTTTTGTAGGCCTGGGACAGATTCTGTAACCAGTTAACGACAATTTTCGAATCGGTATCGGTTTTGTCGACGTTTGATATCAAATATTTGTAAGTCAACAAGTGCGATATCGATCCGAAACTTGTCGCTAACTGGCTACAGAATCTCTCCCCTGAAAGGCTTCTTCATCCGTCAAAGTATTTTTCTTGAACCTTGGATCGACTAAGGTTAAAACTGATAAAATAATATTTTTCTGTGGCGATAAGTTCAAGTGTTTTAGCCGATATCATATAAATTAGTAATGAAAGTTTTTTCTAAACCTGAAATGCATATAATGGCGAGGGTTTAATGTAAATAATCGGTATCGGATACCGAAATCTTTTTTAAGTATTGGGTACCGAGTATTGGGGACGATTCAGCACATCACTAGTCGCCCTCATTCTCGCCGCTCTCAGTTGTCAACTCTACGATGACGTCGCGCTAAAATTACTCTCACGAATTCTGCTGCAATCGGCGCAATCCATGGTTCAATAATACAAGGTTGGATAACCTGGCAGTTGTCTCGCTCCCGCATTCTGCCTTAGCCTGTGTTGCTTTCTTTTTTAATTTATAGAAACTACTACTAAAATACAAGGAGAAATATTTTTNCTCTACGATGACGTCGCGCTAAAATTACTCTCACGAATTCTGCTGCAATCGGCGCAATCCATGGTTCAATAATACAAGGTTGGATAACCTGGCAGTTGTCTCGCTCCCGCATTCTGCCTTAGCCTGTGTTGCTTTCTTTTTTAATTTATAGAAACTACTACTAAAATACAAGGAGAAATATTTTTTTCGTATAAAAAGTTCAACAGGCAACACTGCCGATATTTTCATCGATTGTTTTGTGGAAATTCATTTTCTTATTGCGCAAATTCAAGTATGTGAAAAAAATCTAAAAGAATGGAAATATTTTGAATTAAAACAATAATTTACATATGTATTTTTTTGCAGAGTCTCAGAGTTATTCACAATTCGTATTAAAGAACTAGAGTTTTACAACAAGTAAAGTTTTGCATATTTACAAGTAAGTATACCACAGCATAAACGTGAAAGTGCAAATATTAATAAAAATATTTTCTTGTGCAGGTCCGGATCATCTGTGTGTCCGTCCACATTCGCTGGTGCAGCGATTTTTATATACTTCCAGGATTCTAATCTGATCGCAGGTACAACTTTTTCCTTACCGCAAGCTCAACATCATCATAGCGCAGCCCACTTTTAGCGCAAGGCCTTTACAATATCGCACACCGTGTTCAAAATAGTCACAACTCAAATAATACGTTTGTAAGAAAATGCGTAAACTATTTCTTAGCACATGGTTATCACATGGACAAGAGCGACTTAACCTTTGATTTTTTTTACCAATTTAAAAAAAAAAATCTGCAGCTTTTGCTGAAATTTAAATAGAAGCTTTGTGCATAATTTCAAAAATTACAAATTTTGAGTTGTGACTCTTCTGAAGACGGTGTGCGATATAATGGTGTTTTGTATGTAAGTTTTAATAAGTGGAAAAAGTCTAGTGTACTAACCGTTCATCTATAGAAACCCCAAAAAATTACAAAACATTAAAATTAAATTTTAATTAAAAAACCAAATGTAATTAAATTAGGATACTCAAGATCTACTTTTTAAACGTAACTAATATAATGATTAACAAAACTGATAAGAGAAAATAGTAGAAAACATTTCCAAAAGTTTACATGTTTAAAAAACGAAATGTAATTAAATTACTACTACTAAAATACTGAAGACATATTTTTTAAATGTAACCAATATTATGATTAAGAAGACCGATTGGAAAAAAGTACAAAACATTAAAATTAAATTGTAATTAAACAAGTAAGAAAGTCTAAGTTCGGGCGGAGCCGAACAATAAATACCCGGCGCAAGTATTAAAGATATGTTTTCCACCTTGCCGAAAGCTACCGCTACATGATAAGCCGGGGTGTATACATTTTAAGTAAATTAGCGTCCTTAAATTTCGACATATTGAAATTTCAAGCATTTCTGAAATTTATTGTTATTTGAAAAGCGGCCGTAATTTAAGACCGATTTCAACAATTTTTAACGGTTTGCTTTTATGTGGCAAGCACAATAACCATACCGAGTTTGGTACAAATTGCTAGAACGGTTAGCGAGATACATATATGTAATCACAAGTGGGCGGTGCCACGCCCATTTTCCAAAATTTTATCATAAACGTATTTCTTGGTAAAGAATTGTTGCAACCATCAATTTGTTTTGAATAAATTAGCTTTGATATTTACTGATTTATCGAAGATTTTGTATTTCTCGAAATTACCGTTATATGGAATGTGGGTTATTGTCCGATTTTAAAAAGTTTCGGCCATTTGGTATGCTGTACCAGGACCAACAACTGTGCCAAGTTTGGAAGAAATTTGTGCAGCGGTTACCAAGATATACACATGTAACCATAAGTGGGCGTGGCTACGCCCATTTGCCAAAATTTTAAAATATTCTTATTTTTCGTCTAAAACTCATTGTAAATATCAATTTTGAGTGAATAATCTTCAGTAGTTACTAAAATATCGCAGTTTTCGTATTTCTGAAAATT